CATGGCACTGGACGAATTTTCAGCCGGTAGAAAACTTGATTCGTGCGCAGTTTCAGGGGTGTTTCGTTCACACGGAACCAGCTTAAGGGCCTGTTTACATGGAGGTGGGGGACCCCAGATAGGTGAAGTAACATTCAACTTCAACTTCAACTTCAACTTTATTCATTCAACCTCAATTTACAATTTCACGATAGCTTCCACCCGCGTATAGGACAGTCTAATCGAGGCGGGGGAAGAGACACATATCATGTAGTCTTGATCAAATTAAAATAAGAGATCGTATGGACCGGCGGGTTAACTTACCTACCTGGGGTCCCTCACCCCCATGTAAACAGGCCCTAACTGTGCAAAAATTTTAACGCCTAGCCGTTCATAGTTAGTTCTGTGTGGCCAGAACGAAAATATTGAACGGTCCCATGTGAACAAAGAGAAGCCAAGTTGGTTTTTTCTAAGATTATGAGACTAATGATACCAGTGTGATGAATTTCCGCACTGCTTAATCATAATTACGCATGCAATACTCTTCTATTTATCCTCGATAATTAATAAATGATTAATAACTATAAAGTTTTGTGGGGGGTTGAAAGTGGCTGTGCACATGGAGGGAGGAAGATCCTAGCTCTAGGGACAAGTACAACTCAGAAAACATATGGATCTAGGATGATCCGCCATCTTGGGTCTCCCCCCCTCCCCCGTCGCCATGTAAACAGCACCAAAGCCGATTCCCTCGCCTCTTCTCATGTTTTTGCTGATCGCAACGAATAAGTAACCTCAGTATAATCTTTCACCTAGTATCCTCCCATTAAGGATGATATACTCTAAAAATTATTCGCCAACACAGAAGGCTCAATAGGAAGACAAGAGTCTGGTTATGGTTTTTGTTAATTCAAAAATATGTATGCTACTAATTTATGCATTATATTGATGGCTGTCTTTAAGAGGCAGTTACATGTAACTTGGCGGACTTGCTGTACCTTAAGTTCACTGCGCTATTAAACTTTGCGGTGAAATAACTTTTGATCTAAATAGCCGCTTACATGTAAATTACCTTTACGTATAATTTTGCTTACCCATAATCTTCGACGTTGAACATTTGCGCACGTGGTTCCACCGACTTTTCCATTGCACTGATCCGTCAGCCATTTTCCTTGTGTATGGCCCCAAACCACTCCGTTAAACTTCTATGAACATGTCCACGGTTTACATGGCTCCTGACAACCATTAACAGGATTTCTTATTCCAAAGAACAAAAAAATCAGCATTCAAGTCCAAAGAGTCGATCAAGATGAATTCTCTAAAGGTGAGAAAACAAGAGGAATAATCGAATAATAATGAGGATGTAAATTTGCAATTTTAATGAAACTACTGAGGTCTTAGTGGTCCTTAGGGCAGCCAGAGAAGCAACTTTGTTAGGCATTTTTTCCTTGCAGAAATGTGCTTCAAGTTTTCTTTGAATCTTTGTTTTTAAGGCAGAGAAAAGTTGAAAAGTGGTCTTCTCACGCTAGAAAAAAAATTGATATTTTGAAACTGCGTTTTTTCTGAACTTAAACAAGGCTTATTTTTGAAGTAGCTGGGACGGTGGGAAACAATAAGAAGCTGGGTAGGTTGGTGGTTTGCGAGCAGATGTAGAATACATAGAAAATATAATACATTAAACTTCTCTTCACCGGAAATCTCTCTATTACGGCTAGTTCTTTTGGTCCAAAGATACTGCCCAAACTTCATACACTCCTACCTCTGTAATATTCACACCCCTATAGCGGACGATGGGATATGCCTCTATGGTTACATATTAAGTTAAGTCTGTACAATAATTAAAACGATTTTTTTAGTTGATTGCACGGATCACACTCCTTTAACTTGGTTTTAGAAATTGTCGTTTGGAAGCTTCTTTAACACAAAAATGAAACAAATTCTATGCGTGAAGGTCTAAGTCATAAAGAAGCCGGTGTAGTCAACCCTTGATATTCCCTGTGCACATTTCTACTAAACGAGAACTGCAGGCAAAAACAATAGGGCCATTTATACGAGGAAAAATAAGACGCGAACTGTACCATTTATACGAGCATGTCTTATCTAATAAGACGCGAGAATAAAATCTGCTTTACACGGCAAATATGCCTTTCAAGCGCAGAATAAATTCTGCGCACTTATGTAAGACGCGTCTTATTTTTCCTCGTATAAATGGCACTATTGATCCACTTTTCGCCAAAGACAGGCAATCATTTTCGCAGACGTAAACTTTGAGAACTACCCCCAGGACAAACTTCAAATTCCGGTTTGAAATTCCGGAAACTTCCTGGGTCTAAAATTCAGGAATAAAGAAGGCAACCCACGCCCCCACTCCCGTCCCTGGTTTTAAGTGCTGGGGGTAAGTTCCTAGGTAAAATTAAGTAATTTTCAATAGTAACACTCTTCCTTTCCAGCACGGAGTTATTATCATAAGTGGAGCCCAGACTAGTCTCCAGTGCTCTAAGGATCAACTAGTTATAGGCTTGCCTAGTCCCTATTCGGCGTTTTCCCAGTCCCTCACTGTCAATTCATCTCGGTGACGTATCATTTTCGCTTGGACCACGTAACCCGAAACGCTTTGGCCGCGCGGGACTAGGCAAGGAACAAGCTACGTTCGCACTTAGTGTCCAACAGTAGTGCCTGCCATACCAGGAGCAATGACGGTGTGTTCACACCTTGGATACCCAAGCGGGAAGCGGGAAGTTTTGGGTTTGGAAGGCAGTCAAGAGATCTTAAGGCAGTGGATTACCTCGGTACCAAAGAAAACGTGTTCAAGCGGGAACCAGGTGGTGACCGCCCAACTTGTGGCGTGGGTGCTAGTCACAAAGGGGTGTGTTTATATTAGTACTCAGCGAGTACTGTGCTCCAGCACCGTACTCGAGCACCAACTGTATACGAAGCCTTAAATCCCAAAGATCGATGAATGGTTTTCATCCAGCAATGGTGCCTTTCCGGATTCCCTCTGACGAAAGGCTAACGCTCGAAACGTCAGCTTTAGCATCTCTTCACGGCGATGGTGAATCGACCGTTTCAACTGAGTTGATAAAAGGAAGTTCTTTTAAACCTAACCTGTTTATCCTGCAGATACACAGGACAATATGGATATGGATAACAGTCGAACAGTTTTCACTTATGTTTCGTTAATTCATTTCTGTTTGAATGCCCTAGCAATGTGACTGTGAAGACATAGTAATGATCACAGAGCGCATAACAGGTGATAACGCTCATTAGTAATATCCAACTAGTGGTCTATTATCAATGCTGCGTTCTGATTGGTTGAGCTACTACTAGGCTGTATGTTATAGCCCACTAGTAGCGAAAAGCGCGGGCTTTTTGGCGGCAAAAATTAAAGTCTGGCTTTCACTAGCGAAAGTTTTTTTTTGTTCCCCATATTTTTGACCAACTAGTTGGATTTTACTAAAACAATTATTCCTCTCGCCCTGATGGCCTCTGAGTTAGTAGCCCATTCAGCCTTCGGCCTCATGAGCTATTGACTCAGAGCCCATTCGGGCTCGAGGAGTAATTGTTAAGTATTATAGTACACTAGCACCCTCACATAAGCACTCACTCGCCGAGTTGTTGGAAGGACGATTAGGGCTTATAAAGGGGTAGTTACCGTGACAACTCATAAGCTCTGTTTACAGTTCACCCAGGATTAAAGCATACTGGGCTTCGTGAAACTTGACCATGTCGGTTGAAATTTTGGCATTTTAACCCCCCATTTCATAACAGAATGTTGAGACTTAAAGGTAAAACAGGTTATTTCAAAGTACTTGGAAAATCAAAAAGGAAAAGTAATATTTCAAATTGCTTACTGCCCGAAAAATATGCATAGAACCTGCGTGGTACAGTATGATCGTACAACCAATCAAGAACAAATAAGTGGATTTTGAGGCAGACCAATTTTGAGCAGCCCACTGAGCACAAAAAAATGACTTAATCAGATGATACAGAGCAGGTTGTCCTTTATAGCGAGGTGTTAAATGTTTAATTTATATTTGTCACACACAACAAGGAAGTTTTGACCACACCCAATTGGACAGGCAGCAAGCAGATTTCCCCTTAAAATAGCCCCAGGAAACACAAAATAGAAAAGATAAAACCCTTAAAAACTAACCATAAAATAGGTTCTCATATCTGGCCTTTATCGCTTAAATCCCATTCAGACCCCTGGGGGCGGGGAAGACGGACATAGGTGGAATGGGAGGGGAGGGGGGTTAGGAAGCTTAAAATAAAACCCTTTCAGTAATTAATCGGACTTCAAGTTATTGTTTAATTATGAAATAAGGTTAAGATACGGGAAAAGAAAGCCAAAAAGAAATATCAGGTAACGTTTAATTTCGGATACTTCTCCGTATATAGTACGGTTATTCTTGAAGCACAGTCTCGGACATATGCGCCAAAAATGTTATGAGAACACCAGTATCTATTTATTATTTTTCAACATGAAACAGACCTTTGTACAACAAAACAACACTCGCGCAATTTACAGCGACGTAAATAAAGCTTTCACCTTGTGAAATACTCTTCTCTTAAAGACAATTTAACGCTTACAAGACAAAGTTCTTGGCTAAAAAGACTGTAAGACTAACGCAGGAATAAGTCATGTGGTTTTTAGGGCGTGGCCAAAGTGGGATGTAGGATTGTTCTATCTTAGCATGACTTAGCAGACTGCGTGGAATCAGACATGAAAGGAATGAATACTAACAAAAATGCAAAAAAAAAAAAAGAGACTTGTTAATGCGCAAAGTTCAGGATAATTTGAGTCAGTTTTCACGAGGCAGCATAAAAGCCACTAGAAATCATAGCCTTACGCATGATTACAATAAATTGCTCGAATCTGTTTAAACATTTTAGCAAAAAATTTGCCTCATTTTTTTCTCTGTTCGGTAGTTCAACTAAAATATTCGGAAATAAATACAAAGTGTTTTAGACAGCAGTAAATCCTTCATGTTTTCGTGGTAATAAATATCAGCTGATTCGCATTTTCAGTTGAATGAATAAGAGGGGTTCTGGGGAGCCCCGCACCAGTTCCCTAGGAAACGCAGGACATCTTGGCATTCGGGGCTATGCGACACCTGTAAATAAAATAGAAAGCAAAGTAAATATTTATCTGCAACAAATTTGTCAATCCATTGATATTTTTTTCACAGAGTAATAGCCAGCTATGTTAGGGTCTCCGACCATAGCTATATCATACTTAGGGCCTGTTTACATGGAGGGTGGGGACCCCGGGTAGGTGAGGTAACCAGCTTAGGTGAGGTAACCCGCCTGTCCATATAATCTCTCATTTTCATTTGATCACGTTTACATGATAGGAGGGGTGACCCACCTCATGTTACCTCATCTGTCTGGGGTTCCCCACTTCCATGTCAACAGGCCCCAAATCAGCAAAACTTAAGGTGATGTTCTTTGCTCTCTGAACAAAGACCACAGTCCCTAAAGGTACAACCCAGCCCATCACATATCTATGCTATGGTAGCATTGGCTCTCTATTTGAAACTCTTGATCCTGTTGCCCACTGGTTTTCCACATAAGTCACAGGTTTCCTAACGTAACATGATCAAAACCAAAAACGGTTGATCCAACCTTGGTAGCCATGATAAACTTGTTCCAGTCCTCCTTGTTCGCAGCTTTGCCCGGCCTCTTGAACTCGATTTTGCTTCGCAAGACGGGATACCCTGAAATGAATTTAGGTCATGTTAATTTAGTTTCATTCCTTTTTTATTTAAGTTCAGTAAGTAAAAGCATTATTGCCCTACGGTCAATCGCTTATCTGGAAACTTGACTGAATTGACAACAAGCTCAGCAGCCCCGGATCAAACGAAATTTAGGGAGATTAAACTATCACGTTTTTCAGCGACGCACGTCAACCGGAAATGGACTTTTTGCATTCTTCAGCATTGGTTTTGTCCAAGTTTTCGGACAAATCGTCCCACTTCTTCCACAAATCACTTCCGGTTGACGTGCGTCGCTCAAAAACGCCTTTGCTTCTTCCAGCTCGCCCTCAAAGAGCAAAATCTTAGCTCGCTTGCTCATTAGCTCGGTTTTCTTGCCCTCATGGACATTCCAGAAAGGCACTGCTTGTAGACTTGTAGTCTAAGATGGCTTCGTCACCAATTCGTTAGTGAGTTACTTCCTCTTACCAGTTATAACACAGGGTAGGGAGGTGATGCCAGTGTTAGCAGCCACCAGACAAGCCTCGTATGTATCACGTTCATCCGTTGGTAACACTTGCTCCACCTGAAAACAAGTGGAACATGCCTTTTGGTCAGGTGATTGTCACTCCAGGACGGGTAAATTGGTGAATGGGGGCAAAAAGGGGGGAGGTGGCTGTTGAGGTAAATTAATTGTTATTTAGTTAAGTGTAAGAGCTATAACGGTCTGGATTAGCGTAGAACTTTGTGTCATTTTAATTGCCAACTTGTTGTTTTCAGTTTCCAAACGTTTAGAGCAACACGCTGTCTAGCTTCAGCAAACCCAGCCGTATTCCACTGATGAAGGGATAACGCAAAAACATTTGGACATTGGAAACGACAATTTGGCACTCTAAACATTCTAATTATTCTCTGTTTAAGCGTTTTGCCATCTTTGAGAGTTTGGACGATTCGCTTCTTTTTATAAATACTTCGGCCCACCCTTCGACGAAACAATGGCCCAGGTACATGAGTAGTGGCGTGAAAGTAGTATATGACCATTCAATATAACCTATTTAGTACCTTCACTCAGTACTACGAGTTCGTCGCCACGAATTCTTATTTTTTTGACCAGAATTCAAGAAAACAGTTCTTAAACTGCCTTGTTTGGATCACCACCTTATCATGGTGCGCGCTTTGCGCGTTTTCCCCTAGAGCTATCAAGGTTAGTCCCTGGTAGGACCACCCATGCTGAATAGGTCGAAGGATAGAGACCAGACAATGTTAATGGCTACGAAGAGGGCTGACGACCCGGTCCATTAAAAAAACGGCCTCACACGCCCTATGCCGCAAATAGCAATGATAATGATGATGATGATGATGATGATGATGATGATGATTTCTTGCACTCTTGGGTGGGAAAGAGTTAAGACCAACCTTTTGATCCATGGATACAGCCAAAACCCATTCCTTTACTTCTTCACGTTTATCCTCCTGAAAACAAGTAGCAGGGAAAACACAGGTATTGTTAATACTCTGCACTGCTCATCAGCTTTCACTTCGGTCGTTTACAACTTTTTAATAATCAGTACCATATGGAAGGTACTTCTCAAAACAGTTACACTTCTGGCCCTAGTACTGAGTTCAAAAGGCGGAAAACGCTATAAACGGCATAAATCACTAACTACCGAAAAACGCAATCAGTTTCCCTAACAATTATCCGCCGGATAGTGATTTACACGGGTGACAGCTTTATCCAACCATTGAACAACAGAGCCCTAGACTATATGCAAAGACTCAAAAGTTGGAATCACCCACTCTTCCAGTGATCTCCATTACACACGTAGGAAAATACGTCGTTTGACCATGGTGCAGTAAAGAAACTCACCGGAAGGTGTTGTTTATCGGGAACAGGGACCTCAAATGGAATATCAGTGTCTGCAAAATCACTGTTATCCAACATGTCAAGACTTCCTTCCTCGATACCCTGAAAATAATTTTGTACAATACAATAAATGCACGTAGTAAGGCGACTACGAACTACTTTTAGACGAGACCTTTAAAATGGATCAGGGTGTGAACGGAACTGGTTTACAATTGTCCAAACGCAATCGTTAGTTTTGTGAAAGCCTGCTACAAACGCTTTGGTGCCATACTGGATCAACGCAAGAGCATTGGCTCTTCCATACAAAAAGGATGTAATGAACAAACAAAATTGCGTAGTTGGTACAGTCTAACCTCTCCTTACGGACACCTCTCTATTACGGACAGTTCGTTTGGTCCCAGAAATGCCAAAAATCATACACTCCCTATCTCTATAATACGGACACCTCTGTAAAGCGGACACTTGGTTCTGTCCCTTTGGTGTCCGTATTAAAGAGGTTTGACGGAGCAAAAAAACGTCCTAGCCAAATTTAGGACTAGAGTAGCTACAAAAACAGGTCAAACAATAGGATCAGGAGAACTATCGTCACCGGTAGGTCTAATACATAAGAAAGGATAATGTACCATCCGTACAGCCCCCATCCTCGGAGACCCAGGGGCAATCAGTGGGGCCGGGAGAAAAGGCGCAACGAAAGTTTTCAAGTATGGGTTTTCGTAGCGCCTTGTCTTCCGGCCCGACTGACTGCCCCTGGGTCTCCGAGAATGTACAACGCCCTAAATGGTGCCGACCCTGAGATCATCCGCAAATTGACCGCGACTCCTGCTAAATAAACCTTAGGATTATTTCGGGGGGCTGTTCTGATCCCTTCATGACAGTAGACGTATCCTTTTTCGACGCAACGTTAAACAGACTGCACGTATAAAAAGGAAATTGTATGGCAAAGAACGTTCATCTGGAAGTAAACTAATTGGTTTAAATAACCAACCTCACTGAGATCCAGGTAACGATTGAGGAAAACGAAAGCCATATTTTCCCAGCCAACGCCCTGTTAGGAAATATAAGGAAAATGTTTAGTGTCTTCTGCATGGCTGTGAGTATGGCTTGCTCGAGTAAATCGCCTACCTACTCTCTCCAGTCTTCCTCATCGATAAATTCAAAGATGACGGCCAATGCATTACAAAACCGCCCNCATCTGGAAGTAAACTAATTGGTTTAAATAACCAACCTCACTGAGATCCAGGTAACGATTGAGGAAAACGAAAGCCATATTTTCCCAGCCAACGCCCTGTTAGGAAATATAAGGAAAATGTTTAGTGTCTTCTGCATGGCTGTGAGTATGGCTTGCTCGAGTAAATCGCCTACCTACTCTCTCCAGTCTTCCTCATCGATAAATTCAAAGATGACGGCCAATGCATTACAAAACCGCCCGCCAAAAAATGCTACACTTAACAATAACAGCCCACTCAGGACGTTTACATATCCTCACAAGAAAGGGTGTCGAGGTCCTTTTGTGAAGATGATGTTAAAGGTGAGCTGAAGGGCGTAAAGGAAAGGCAACTGAATGATGAGATAAGAATAAATACATCACTCACCTTTGCTGCTACCCCAGCCTCGTAAAAGGCTTTGTCACATGGAACAATATCAGAATGTCGAAGAAGAGAAATTGATAATTTGGCTGCTAGTGTGTCCTGTTAAAAGAGAACGAGGAAACAATAAAAAGGAAGCAACATAAGAGGAAGCCTCGAGATGGTGTCTCTGTTCACCGGAATGAGGGAAAGCTCGACTGATTAACTTATCAATACTGCTTACCAGCGATTTGTGTTGCATACAGGCGCATCTTGTACTGTAATAATGCACGACTTCCAGCATGACTTCAAATTCCTTAGCCTGTGGTGAACTAGCCGCTGATCCTTTACTTAAACCGTCAACCTTAAATCAAAGATCAAAATGAAGTTTTCAATTATCACATTTCTTTAGTCCAGTTCTGGCTTCTCTCTCTGTCACACAACAACAGCGTTGTGTGACAAATAGAGGGGGGGAGAGGGTCAGAACTAGGACACCTCTTGGACTAGAACTAAGTGTCCGTCTAAGAGGGAAGTCCAACTTCCAGAGAGACTTCTGAAAAGAACAAGAGGACTCGAGGTTTGGGTTTTAGGGAAGGGTCCGTCCTCTGGAGGTAAATAAACCGACTCTTACCAAGGCATAGCGCTGTATTTGCGGATTCTAAACAAAGTTATACTGGGTCAGATTCTCAGATAATAAAAACAAAACTTACTATCTCAAACAGGACGTCTCTGAGATCCGCCCAAGTGCGGTAACTATCAGCAGACCACAGTCCTGGCATGGATATCACGTCTGTTATGATGCGCTTGTAAATATTAAAGTTCTGTTGACATAAACAAAGCAAGGACAGATTAGCCATGTACTGTTGACAAGTAGCTTGACTTGAGAAATTCAAAATCGCGAATCAATTTTGTGGTTTCTGTCTGAATCTGAATCTCATAGATACCATATGAAATGTAAGGAGAGCAATGTGGCGTTCAATGAGGGGTACCATAATCCTATTTCTATCGTGCTTGTGGAATTTGTTTTCTTTCAGGTGAAATAAGCGAACATTAGACTTAGTTGACTCATTGCAATTCTGGAATACCCCAGAACGTTCTCTCTTAGGTTGAATAGTGCCTTACATATAGGATAATACCTGANGGTGAAATAAGCGAACATTAGACTTAGTTGACTCATTGCAATTCTGGAATACCCCAGAACGTTCTCTCTTAGGTTGAATAGTGCCTTACATATAGGATAATACCTGAGCTCTGAGGCCTTCTTTTAAAAAAAAGCCGAGCGCGGGATTTGTTTGCAACGTCGATCTGGGTCTCTCATATATAAATAAATAAATAAATAAATAATAAATAAATAATGATTTGGAGGTAGCACATCCACATTGTGGTTCTTCGTCTACCTTATTCCTGATCGACTTGGAATTTGGAAATGTTGGTTTTTGAGGAGAGGGGAAAACCGGAGTGCCCGGAGAAAAACCTCTCGGAGCAAAGGAGAGAACGAACAACAAACTCAACCCACATATGGCGTATATGTGAAGGTCCCCTTACATTGGACCTCGCCTGTCTATTTGAGTGTTGACAATGTACTACAACTTATTAAGTAACATGTTGTCAGTCACCTGTGGATTAGCTGGAGCACCGTATCTACAAAATAAGTCCAAGGCTTTCAGGGTGTTGTTTTCTTTAATCAAATTAGCAGCATACAATGCGACGTATTTACTAAGAACTTCATAACCCTGTAAGAAAAAAAGGTGAATAGATTACAAAATATAACAGAATTCAGTGCGCTTATCATTTGTCAGAACTGGCCCGCAAAACCAGTACAGTCGCTAACAGAATTCCACTGTTAATCAGGACTACCCAGCCAGATCAGTCTTTACCTAAATAAAGTGTACGGCAGGGATACGTTTTAAGCGACGATTTCGAAATACAACTTTCAATTCACGTTCAAGTAACTGGTTCGGGCACCCAGTTCTGATTTTCGGTAAGCTCCCTTAGACTGGCATAAAGCTATTTGCAAAGAAATATATATGCGAATTAAGACCTTTATCGTTATTATTGAGATTCTGGTTACCGCAAGGTAATACATCACCTCTATTATTAAATGACGCTAGGATGGAAAATGCAGTTCTGCGTACCTGCTGTTCAGCGGTTTCGATAGCTTTATCCCACTGCCCTCTTTGTACCATCATATCCAAACCAGCGATTACATCCACATCAACCAACTGGAAAAACGAGAACAACAGTTTGCATTAGTGATTTATACTCGTCATCGTCATCATCATCACTCAGTATCATAAACATCATCATATCATAATCACCATGATGATCAGCATCATCATCATCATCATCATCATCATCATCATCTACATTTAGCACGTATTTTGAACGAGCTTATTGGCTCATTAGACGATACGTAAGTAAATAAACGATTGATTGATTGATTGATTGATTAATCATCATCATCATCGTCACCAATTTCCTAACTTCGCCTTAATTTACATAACATGCCTACAGGACCCAAGTGTATGACCAATTTTGGCTGCCTTAAGCCTGTGATCTAAAACTGTTTTTCATGTTGTTTTGTACCTGTTCAGCTTGTCCTTTCTGTTTTAGAAAAGCAACGTAAGCATCCTCGACGTACTGTTCATACCTGAAATAGTGAATAAAAGAAAAACGTATGACTCAACAGGATCATTGATCTTCATACACTCTGCCGGCAGTATACAAGACTTAAGTAATTAACAGAATAGCCAGCAAGTAAGTTAAAGTAAAACACAATCAGATTTACGTACTTGGGGGCCATTTCGGCAGCACATCTCTTGGCTTTTGGCCACAGTTCACCCTGGATATAGACATCAATAGCTTCCTTCACCATCTCAACTCCAAGATACAGCTCGCCAGCCTAACAAAAAAAACAAACAGAAAAGAACACGGTTTAACAAAAATACGGAGGACAACACTTAGATTTAAAACACTGTTGATACAGCATAATCTCTCTTAGTATAAACAAACAAAAGAAAACAGAGAACAAGTAACTTATTGTTAACTGATGCAATGTTTATTGACAGACCTGTTCATAACACTTGATCTCAGCTAGTCGGGGACAAGCAATCCTCGCCACATCATACGCTCTGTCACTGACGAACTTCATCGCTAGTTCAACAGCCTGAAAGTAGTAAACAGTTGATGAGTAAGTTTATTAGAACAAGGAGATGTTAAGTACTCTTCTTTAACGAGCCACGAGAACGCTTTGCAAGCCATACACCCCATTCCATCGACCACTCGTCAAGAAGCGTGTAAGAAAACAACTTTAGTGCCCTGAAATAATTGGGTATCTATATGAACGCATGATAGACATTTTGCTCAAGCTTTTCCTAACAGGCTTCCAAAGATGTGATATTCCTGTACCCTCAAGTCATTAGCAGTAGATCACTCGACTAATTACACTAACCTTGACCATAGCATCCTCGACCAGTTCATGATCAGTTGTCATACTCGGTGTAATCTTCATATACATCTCAATCGCACGGTTGTACTCGCCTTTCTTTTCCCACTCAACTCCTTGGTTCAACAAAGACTCCGCCCCTCTGAAATAAAACAGTAATAAAACAGCAGGTCAACCTGGGGGAACTAGTCTTCAAATACACCAATAGCTTGCGAGCGAGTGACTACCACACCTCCCCCCACCCCCACGAGAGCTTGCAGGCAGGCCAATATACTAATTACTACTCCAGAAGGTCAGTAGCTCTCCAAACATGGTCTGTTATTGAAGAACAAAACAATAGATGAATCTACACAAACAATAACCCTAGCCCTAAAAACAAAAGAAGCTACTGCTTATTTAGGCCAATGAAAATAGAGCTCTGGAATAGCAACTGTACTACTCTAATTATTACCGAATATATCAATGGTGTATCCGCCTAGTATCTAGACAATATCACTGGATTGGCCCTAAAAGGGAGGCTAGGTTCCATAGCCCGAAAACATCTACAGAATTGGCTGTAGTATCCGTTTTCAAACTGGTTAAACTTGTTCGTCAAACCGATTATACCTGTTTCCTTTGGACATGACCTCTCTATCATACTCGTCCTGCCACTGTTCCAGCTGTTGGGAAAGTAAAGAACATTTGAACAAGTTATAAGAATCCAGAGTTGGTAAAAATAAAGGATTTCTTTAGAATAGTACTATTCGAGACTCGCAACTTAGAAATGTACCATAAATAGTACATTTATTTGAATCACTACACCTCAGAATGCCATCCACAGACGCGATAATTCAGACACCCTCTTCCTCTGGAGAGTGTCTCCAATTAGTTGGGGAAACTTAGAGGGCCAAAGGTTTATCAGTTTTTGAAACTGTCAAGTGCCATCCTACCTAAATAACCTTACTACGGTTTTTGAAATCATAGTAAATCCTCTGAGCCCATCACATGTTTTCAACACGTGTTAATAAGGGCTGATGTAGATAAAGTCCGCTGTGCAGGCACATACCTTATGAGGTAAATACTCCTTCACAACGCGCAGAGCATCTGTCCACATACCAGCTTCCTGTATATAGAACAAAATAAAACCTTTTATTCAGCTTATGTCCAAAGGTAAATTAATCATAGCTTTAATTTTGCCCGATGCAGTTTTAACGTTGACGACGTTGTAGAGGGTTATACTAAAGAAAACTCTGGCCCCATTCCCAAGTTAACGCGTCTTATGCACATGGTCTGAACTCGAGAATGGGATGCTTTACTGCTGATTCGCATGGTTCCAACATTCCTCTGTTACTTGCTTTAAGTTCCCCGGGATTGCATTGGTTGCGTTACAAGGCAAAACTTGTGCCTTTGAGGAAAACGAATAGGACCTCCTAAAAAGCAACTACAAAAGATACATTAAACAATCACTTAAAAACAAAATGTAACGAATAAATGAATAAAAGTCTACAACTTTGATAACATGGCTCAGTGTTCAAGTAAAGCTATTGTACCTTGTAATAACGAGCAGAAAGTTCTGGTCTCTGAGCGCGCAATAGAAATGTTTCTGCTTTTTGGAATTCCTTTTTGTCGAACGCAACACGAGCCTGCAACATACAGATAGACGAACATTCAAATTTTCCGTTAGGAGGTAGAGGTTGGGATTGGAGGTTAGGAACAGGGGTTGGGAACAGATTGAAACAGATTGGAAACAGAGCTAGAGAACAGAAATTGGAAACGAATTAAAAACAGGGGTTGGGAACGGGAATAATGAACAGAGGCTGGGAACGTGGGAAGTGAAAAAAGGTTGTAAGCAGGAGTTGGGAACGGAAGTTGGCAACAGAGGTTTGCAACAAACATAGGGAAAAAGAGGAAGGGAACAAGGAACAAGTATTAAAAAAAGGGGCTGGGAACAAGGATTGAAGGAGGATTACAAGGATTGAAACAAGAATTAGAAACAGGAGTAGGGAACTGGGGTATGGGGCAGAGTTTGGAAACAAGGATTGGGAACAGGAGGAGAGAAAATGATTGGGAACAAGGGCTGGGAACTAAGGTTGGGAAAAGGGGTCAAGGAACAGAAACGTGGCAACAGGGGTTGGCAAAATAGATTGGGAACAGGGGTAGGGAAGAGAGGTAAGTGAATTTAGGTTAGGAACTCGGAATAAAAGAGGCGCCGCTTAATCAAAGGAGAAAGTAAGAGCAGGATGTATCAGAAAGCGAGGCTGGGAAGCATTGAAGGAGTTGGCGTATTCTCTTCAGTACACAACCAAACCAAAGGCTGTCAGTAAGTAAGGTCATGAAAGGTAAGGATTAACTCTACAGACACCTTCACCTAACTGCAATTGATTTACACTTTCAAACCACTGTATATACAGCACCTGTCCAACTAAAACGTCCGTAACGCTATCAGGATCATTTTCCTCTGCTACTCTCTGAGCACTGTCCCAATCTTGATTGTGAACGTACCTGAAATATGGGGGGTGGGGAACAGTGAAAAACCCATGTTAGTGGCCAATGTAGTACACTACGCAATACAGCGAATTTAGACACTAACACTATTTAACGAAGCAAACAAATACAGAAAAAAAAGGACTCTTTGATTGGTGAACTTCGATTTAAGTTCAGAATGAAACGGGAAATGTCAAGCTCAAGTTGATAATTTCTCAAATTACGAAAAAAAGAAACAAAAAATCTTTGCCGTAACTAAATCTCTATGATACAATCTTAAGTATCAATCAAACGCTAAAAAGAGCGCCCTTCGATACGGTAAACGATAGGACTGAGTGGAATCGAATCATACAAGTGAATCACAAAATCGGTCGACCGCGTGGCGGAAAACCGATTTGTTTAATGAACGATACGAAGTTCTGTTACAAATTAATGATAACTATAAAAAAAATTATGATATTTTAAGACTTTTTAATCAAAAGACAAGAAATTTTAAGAGTTTAATTTTGCTAGCATTCGAGTGCGCGCGCGATGGCGCGTACTGTCCTACTAGTGCTGAAATCAGGACAGTTGATAGCCAATCAGATTCGAGAAATTTGTTATAGATATGAACAAACTAAGAACAGAGTGCGCTATAGTACTGTCTAATGTGACAGCCAAACTTAGAAGATAGCGCGTTACAGTAGTGAAGCATTAATCAAACACAGAACAAAACCCAATTTAGTTACGTCTAAGGTGATAATCATAGAACAGAATGCGCTATTGAAGCGTCTCACGGAGCAGACACCCACTGATAAAACGGGTTATAGAAGTATAGTAATATGCTATGTAACAATCAAATGCAGAAAAGAGCGCGCTAAAAAAACGTCCATTGCAATGAGGACAAACCCTGCTATATTATTTCTAACATACCAAACTCAAAACAAAGCAGGGTATAGTGGAATCTACCGTGACAATAAAACACTGGCCAGGGAACACCATATTGGTATGGTAGTATCTGAGGAAACAGTCAAACACAGAACAGGGCGCGCTATAACAGTGACTATTGCAACGATCGAATATATTCTGGAAACCTATACCCTTTGCGAAAGCTATAGAATAAGGAAATTGCGCAGAGGAGCATTAAGTTAGTTGTGAAAGTTACATAAAACCCGCCATATAACTCACATAAGAACAGCCTCCTTGGATTTTCCAGCTTTAATAAATTCATGTTCGGCTTCTGTGAACTTTCCTTCGTCCTCTAAGAACATGGCGTACTTCAGGTGAATGTCCGGTAGTTTGGATTTCATAGCCGTGCGGGCTAAATCAAACGCGAACTCAAAAGCACTAGTTAAGACAAAAAGAAACAAAGAAACAAACTTAAGGGTACCATTTTTTAAAACGCAAAACTAAAGGTAAAAAGATTTGTGGCAACATTTTGTTAAGCTGTTTAACATTCCTAACCCTTAAGGTTGGTTTTCACTAGTGACGGAGTCGGAGTCCTAAGCGGAGTCGTAACAGCGCTTATGACCAAGTGAAAATCAAAAATCGGAGTCGTAAGCGGAGTCATAAGCGACGGAATCGGCGTCAGAAGAATCAGAACGTTTCCATTTCTTCCGACTCCGCTTACGACTCCGTCGCTTACGTTCCGCTTATGATCTAGTGAAAACCAGATTGTCGGAGTCGGAAGCAGAAGCGGAAGGATAAACCAATCACA